TTGCTTAATGTTGTATGGCCCTGGTTATGCACAGTATATATGTGACTGTATGAAAATGAAAATGGAAAATAAAAAGATTTCAACATCGGGGGGAAAAAAAGAAAAAAGAAAGAAAGAAAAGTAGTTCACAATAAAACAATTTTATTAAGCAACTAGAAATATGTTCATAACATTTTATACAAAATATGTAATTTCAGAATTGATCACACAAATAATTTGATCATAATAAATATTTATAAATCTATTTTCAAATGGTTTAACCTATCTTGTTAATAAGATGTCGCTCACATCTATTACTTTTATTATGTAATTTTATTTACCATGCTATCAGTAAGAATATTTGGTCAATCATGAAAAAAAGGATTCTTTGCTCAGTAACTGTCAACCAACAAGAAGAAAATTTTATCTCAGATCTTGGGATACAATCTAGTCTTTATAAGCAGCACTACTAGTTACACTTTTTCTGAAGCTCACTAGATTACTATTCAAAGTTTTATGGATTAAGCAATCAAGCTTCAGTTGAGAAACAGAACGGAAGCTGCCACAAGTAATAACAAGGCAATAGAAGTCCTAGCATATTCATGAAGCTTAAGTATGCTGGAAACTGCAGATGAAATATCTAAGCTTCCTTTAAAAAAATTACACTTCCTAACAATTATGAAGTATACTCTAGTAGAGACTTTACACAAATAACGTTATAACAGGAGTTAAGAAAGAAGACGAACTGTGAACTGTAGAAGCACCTGTAGTGTTTCTCTTTTTATGACTGAAATTTCTTTTTGAAAAACATACAAGGAAATTTTAAATAGAATAAATAAATCACTTAATAATTTAGTCACATGCTGAACTAACAGTATCTGGTATTATCCAATTTATAAAACTGAGTTTCCAAAATATATTGTTTTATGCTCATGATAATAGACAACTATCAAAAATATGCTTTATGTATCTTATGAGTTTTGCTAGTTCTTTAAGTCAATAGTTGCATCATAATTTCATTTTTCTACAGCTTGCAAAATTTGGAGTGCTAATAGAAACAAAATCCTTCAATACATTTAAGAATTAAGCTAAAACAGAATCTGAATTCTGGATGACTCTGAGTCAGTCATGCCAATTGATTCAAAATAGTTTTTTGTTGTTCAATCAGGTCCAATTCTCAGAAACTGCCTGGACTACTCCTCGAGGTTTTCTTGGCAAGATTTGTTTTTAAATAAGTGGTTTGCCACTATCTTCTTCCTAGGGCTGGGGAAAAAGTGATTGGTCCAAGGTCTCTCAGCTGGTTCTTGCCTAAGGGTAGTACTAGAACTCACAATCTCTGGATTCTAGCCTATGCCTTAACTACACCAAACTGGCTCTCTAAAATGGAATACAAGTCTCCTAATTAAGATTCTAATGTGAGATATTGTTTAATGCTGTGGGTCATCAAAATTTAAAATAGCTTATAGGTTTTTCCAATCATGCACAATTTTAGATTTATTAAGGTTGAATTTTTGCAAATCCTACCTGAAGCTCTCCTGTGGCATTATTTGCTAATCCCAAAGTCAACTGATTCAAATTGATCAACTGTTCAGGGAAGGAAAACCCAAGAAGTTACTAACTTATAGGGGGCTTAAGAGAATATTATTTTTGACATGAGGGACATTGTTATAGATCATTGCTTGAAAGTGAATAGTTATAAAAAAGAAACCTTTTGAAAATATGCTACAATAATAAACCATACTAAAACAAATAGCACTGTAGAAAGAGAGCTGAATGGCAGCTAGTCTATGGTATCCAAAAATCAGAAAAAACAAATAGCTATTTTTGACTAATAAATTTTGTTTAAACCATGTGAACTAAGCTTACTGAATTAGAGGCAGTGGAATGGCTAGATTGCAGGGATTATGAATCTCAATATTTAACCTATGGTGGTTCCAATGCTTGGAATGGTGGGGTAGTTGAAATTGCCCAATTTTTGTACTTTGAGAACGTAGCCACTCTTTAACATCTAATGAAGGGACTAAATTCGTAAAAGCATGTACCTTTTCAGTGGTGGGTTCCTATCAGTTTGGACCGGTTCAACCGAACCGGTAGTGGTTTGGCAGCCTGGGTCGCTGGAACCAGCAGCAACCCAGGCCTGCCACACCCCCAAATCAGCGCCGCCATCTTGTCTTTTGCTTCTGTGCATGCACAGAACAATTTTTATTGTACTGCACATGCGCACACAGCAAGCGTGCAGGCGATCGCACAGGCCATGTGATCACATTTTGCGACATTCTGACAAGCAAAGTTAATAGAGAAGCCAGATTCATTTAACGACCTCAGAACTATTCTTTCCACCACCACCCCCAACCATCCAGTTACAATTGATGAATCTTCTTTGATGAGAAGCGAAACATCTTCATCAAGGAGAAAACAAAGTCGAGTTGCCTTTTGAAAAAGCACCTTTGAGACTTAGGTTTGTTACTAAGTTAACAACTGCAGAGATTAACTTAACAATTGAGGCAAAAAAGGTTGTAAAATGGGTCAAAACTCACTTAACAATTGTCTTGCTTAGCAACAGAAATTTGGGGTTTAATTGTGATTAAGTCAAGGACTACCTCTATGTACATTGTTGGGTATAGTTTATTAATTCCATTAATTCCAGGACCCTTAAAAGAGCCAGATTTGAAATCTCTTTGTCATGTAGAGGAGCAGTTGCTTAAGGAACAAGGAAGCAATAGTATAAGCCCCTATTAATATAATTTTATATATAGGATCTTCAAACTAGAGTTGAAGTTGACTAGTCTGATGAAAGTTGATAAAACTAAAATTTTGTTTAAAAGGAATGGATAGACATTTATACAAAGAACAGTAGAAAGTAGGTGTCACTAAACATTTTACTAAATATTTAAAAGAAACTAGAAAAAAAAAGCTTTCAGCCGTTTATAAAATTTAGAATTTTCACTATAGTTTCCATATTGAATGAAGCAAGCTGTGTTTATGCAAACCTTTCCAGAAACTGCTGTTTATGGTGCTACTGGACTGAATAAGTACGTACTCCAGGAATTTGAAATATAGGGCAGTAGTCCCCTTTAGCTTCTATGTGTGATTGACAAGTACAAAATCCTATTCCTAGACTTTGACAACCTATTATCTCCATGTCTTTTGTTGCACAGTGGAAGTAGGAAAAAACCAACCTTATCATTCCAAATCCATGTTGTTTTTCCTGACTTAACAAAATTTTATGAAGTACAAGCTATATAGCTCATTAATTATCACACTCCAATTCTGCAAATATGGTGCAACTAAGGGGCTATAGAACATGTTATGGTAGAAAACCACACTAATAATCTCAACTCTATTATTTAGTGTATAGAAAGATTTGAAAAGCATATCAAGTTACTTGTCCCAGTATTAAAAACTATTTTTCTACAATTAATGTAGGCATTTTATATTTTCAATTCTTACTTACAAACACCCTATGGGTAGCATAGACACAACCATTACAACTGCTTACATTACAACCATTACAACTGCTTATACCCATTGACATCAATAACCTAGTCTAGTCTTTATGTTTAGTTTTATCTACTGTCCATATTTGAAAACTAAGACTTTTAACATAAAATTGTGTCCCAGGATGCAATGGTTCAGCTCTTATCCAACTGGTTATTTTGCTATAATTTCTTCAACAGATGATTTACACTGATTCACAATTTTACTCCTGTGCATCTTCCTCCACTTTCTAATGTATTTGCAGTGTCAATAAAGGAATCATCAAGGGGCCAAACTGATTATTTTACTCCACATGGAACATAAACCTCCACACTACCCTCAATGAGGGCAGGTCAATATATGGAAACCAATCCCAAATGTTCAGTATTTTTCTAGAGGACTTTATACATCCTGCAAATTAGTAGCATGTATTCTCTCTTAAGCAAAGCCAGAAACTGCCAGTTGAGAAGGACTTGCCATTTATAATGCAGACAGAAAGATGTTTAGTTTGTAAACAGAGAAACATGGATTAAGTATCAATTGCATCCAACCTTTATTTTAAATTCTTTGATTATATTAACACATCATTGGAAGTATTTTTTGTAGTTTGTAATTGGTAAAAAGACCAATGCTTTCATCCCATCTTTTAGTTTAAAAAAATAGGATAAAATCAGCATTAACATTTTAATTAAATTAAAATTTTTAACAAATTAACATTACAATCATTTTTATAATTTAAGATATTGCCATAGCAGGAGAGGTGATTAAAAGGTAATGTCTCTTAGTAACTTCATAGATATGTCCACATAATTTTCTCGGCAAGAATACAGAAGCAGTTACTGTTTCTCTAGTCCATCCCCAAATGAATTGCTTTTGTTTACCTTAAACTTCTACTAAAGAAACACCATCACTTATTAACTATGTACCTAGATCATGTACATTTGCCAACAATTCCCTTATATCTCAAAAGTTTTTTCCAAAGGAGAATATATTGTTTCTTTTATCTATTAAGAAACATTCAATGCTATCAGTGCTACCAACAAAGCCATATATTGGCTCAGTTTTGGTTCTCTAATTGAGTTATGAAATAATCTATCATGTTTTAAACTTGAAAGCCACATAAAAACTACTTCATTTGCCATTAAACAACAATAAAACATTTTACTTATCAAAACATTTTAGATAACAGAATCCAGTGGTACATTTCTGATTCATATTTTAAGGTACAAGGCAAAAACCCCTCCCCAAATCCTAATTCACATTTTTGGTTTGCAACATGGAAAAGAATTACTCTGCTTTAATCTTCCAGAAAAGCTATCAATTAATAACAGTAAAAATAACCAACATGTTTTCCCACACTTCCAATACTGGAAGACTTAGATTACAGACACAGAAGTAAATGCAAAGGAACAACTTTTTTGTCTCCCCACATTCAAATGCATACCTGGCTTGCAGAGTGCTTTGTCACAGTAATTCCAGGACTAAATAGAACATAAGGACGGCCTTCTTAAGTATTTTCTTTTAAAAACATAACAAAAGGATACAGCCTTAAAGCGCCAGTTTGTGTTCCAATGGCAAGTATCTTCTGAACAGGATCAAAAGACAAAGCTGAAGGCTGATAGGGGAAACCATGGCGAACAGTCTGTCAAGTCAAGGTAGTGGAGCAATGGTGATTCAGGCAACCAAAGAAAAATAAAAAGCCAATATTTTAGGAAGAAATGACTTCATTTAATGTACAAAATATTTTTTTAACTTGGAGGAAAATAGATTAGAATATATTTAAATCTTACTGAACATACAGAAAACAAAATGAAGTCTTTGCTCAAATACCTATAGATAAATTTATCATTCACTTCTCACTTTACTATTTTTAGAAACTCTTGCAAAAATTAAACAACTGTATTAAAATCTGAGACAGACTGAGAAATTTGATGATGCAGTCATTCCTGTAAATTAAGTGTTCACTAATTATTAAGATAGCTCTTTGGGGAGCTATTTCTTTTTCTCTGAAGGCCTTTATTTTTTTAAAAACAACAACACATAGGCACTTCTGCATTTAATGCATTACAATGGCCACCAATGCTCCTCCTTTTTATTTTTTATTATTTTTATTTTTTAACAACTAGAGGTGTACTTAAACTCATTGTGAGCAAACAGCACAGGCAAAGCCAGTGAAACCAAAATGTTTTTTATCGTAAGGATCAATCCTAACCCATTATTTAGATAAAGTATTCAATCCACAAGCCGATCTACAGCAGTTTAGGCCACAGGTGTCTAAAGGTGGAGAGGAACATCCACTTCGTTTTGTGTTTCAATTTGGCACAACTGGTGAATTAATCTGCTGCATCACCGTTTTGGAATTTAGACTCCAACTGCATTTACTGCATCCCATCAGAAAAGAAATATCCCTTCCTATTAGTATTACTTCTTCCTCCATCCCCAAAATGAAGAATTGTTCCCTCTATATTTAGAGAACACCATTTACTGAAGACTGTTAAGATCCCCATGTTTGCTGGTAATGCAGAGCATTTAGTACTCTGTCCTCTAATGGCATCAGAGTGGCATTTTAATTGTGTTCAACAGCGAAGCACACATTTAGCGGCTTCCCTCCAAGCATCTTAGATATATATGTACACATCTGTGGCTTAAAATTCAAGTGATAAATAGACATTCAGGGGAAGATGCTTCTCAATAAAAGCCGAGGGTCCCTCATAACGTCATCCTCGCGGTTGCTCTATTTCCCCCACCCACAATTTTTTTAAAAAAAAAAAAACCACACACATTAAATTGACAGCTTTAAAAGCACCGGAGTCCAGAGTCTGCAGAACCCATCATGGCTACATCATCCTCTGCTCCCCCCCACCCCATTTCTTCCCAACCGGCTGCAGCATTCACCTTGCAGAGCTGGAAGTGCTCGGAGTGGAGGGTCTCCTGGATGTCGTTCTCCCGGGTTGCAGCCTGCTGCTGCTGCGAGGAGGAGGAAGCTGAAGAGGAGGACGACGAGCCCGCCAGGCCGTCCAACACCTTTCTGATGTTAAATTTCCTCATGGTCTCTCCGGCGGCGCACCCTTTTCTTCTTCCTCCCCCTCCTCCTCCTCCTCCCCCTCTCCACCCCCCTCTTGCCGTGGCTCCTACTCCCGCCCGGCCACACACCTCATCCAGACGAGCGGAGAAAGGGAAGGAGCAGGCGGGCAAGGCGAAGGGTCCCGCTGCAAAGGGAAGGACGCCTCGAAGTCTCGGCTTTTCCCCCCTCCTGCTTTGCCTTCTTCATCCAACCATTATCACCCCCCCTCCTCGGTCTGGGCACAGGGTGGGAAAGCAAGGCGCGCGAGGCGGGGGGGAGAGGTTGCTCAAGGCAGGCGCGGACTCAGGGGGCAGAGCAGTCACCCTTATCAGTTGAGGGAGTGGATCTGATCAAGGAAGAGGAAAGCGCTGAACAGGAAGAAGAAAAGGAAGAAAGGGAACTCACGAAGTAAATAAATCTAGCGGCGAGATTAATGTAGCGCGGCGGCTTCTTTGGGGCGGCTCGGCTCGCCACGCCAGCGCGCTTGTACGCCACACTCAAGCGAGCAGCTCAGATGGCTCTGTCCCTGACCCCCACCCCCTAGGCGCCCTCTAGGCTCCGGGAAGGCCGCTTCGTCTTCCGCAGGCTGCCCTTCCTTTCTCGTCCAAACCCCTAAGCCCCGGCCCTCTTTTTGCACCGACTCTCCTCGCCCGCCCCTCCGGCTCTTTGCCACTACTGCTGCGCGGTGAGGGGAGCCCGAGCCTGCCTCTTCCCCCCCTTCCTCCTCCTCCTCCTCGTGCGGCTGCGAGCCCAGAAGTGACAACGGCGGCCGCCTCAACTTCCCACCCCTTTTCACTTAAAGGGAGTAGAAGCGGCTGTCCATCATCTCGCCGGGTGCCCACCACAGTTTCTCTCTCTCTCCCCGGCGCAGCTGCAATTCCCTGTTGCCCGGTGGTTGCGTTGGCTGGCTGTCTCGCCGGCCGGCCGGCCTGCCTCGCCGGCAACGCTGCCCCTCAGCGCGACTCCTGCTCCGGGAGTGTCGCCAGCGGCGCTTCGCGGGGACTTTGCTGCCGCCGGCTGTCACACGCCCCCACAATCATCCTCCCGCAAAGGCTATACCGGCAGCTATTGCTGCCGCTGCCGCCTCGCAACACAAAAAGGCGATCCCACCGTGAAGCGGTGGCGGTGGCAACGCCGTCTTCCTCCTCCCCACCAAACCCCTACGGTAGCTTATCGCTGTTGTCTCCTTAAACTGCTGGTAGTGGCAAAGCAGGAGCGACCGAAGCGGAGCATGCGCGGTACAAGGCCTTCCTGCAAGCACCCGGATGTTGCTGTCTTTTCTTGTTATTGAGGGGGAGGAGGCGAGTGGGGAGCGACACGTCCTAACGGCCTTCCTAGAAGGCGTGCTGAGGTTTTTTGGGGCGCATTGGCCTCTTGGGCACTATGGATGTGGGGGGGGGATTAAAGCCCTTTGAATGCAGCCTCCGGGACAAAAAGCGCGCCTTGGAACGGCTGAACAGGGCGCCTGGAGGTCTACCTTCAGGTAGCTTCCTGGAGAGGCTTGCAAGGGGCTGCAGCCCAGCTCCCGCCTTGCCTCAAGCGGTGGGATGTGCGTCAGAGTAAAAAAAAAAGAGAGAAGGGGGGAGGTCGTCGGAGGGCAATTATTTGGCTAGGTTCCCGCCGACCCACGAGTCGGTTGGGCCAATTTCGAAGCATTCTGGACCGCGTCCGCCCGACGCCAGGGATGCAGGCACACAGAGCCTGGTGATGGGGCTGGAGGGGCATCCCTGCTGTTGTGCAAGGCGGCAATAGGGATGTCCCAGGTGAGGACGGAGCGCCAGTACGCCCTCCGTTCAAGTAGAGGCAGTAAGGGGAAATTCCGCTGCCGCCTTCAAAAGTTGACGCGCTCCCGAGGTGACTTGGATGACAGTTTCCGTGGGGACAATTGATTAAGAGAGACAACGTGATTAAACTTTCTTTGTTTACTTCTTTGAAGTCCTCTCTTCCGCGTGAAAGAAAGGAGGCAGCTGTATTGCGGGAAGCGATGGAGGGATAAAGGATAGTGCTGATGCTGGTCAAAAGCTTTTTCATTGATGGAGCAGTAAAAGCGGAGTAAGAGGCAGATTAGGACAGGCCAGTCTTGGACAGGAATGACCTCAGCTCAAATCACCTATAACCACCGAGCTTATGCTTTTCAGAGGGACTTTGGATATTTTTAGATCTGAGAGGTTTGTTCCTGCTTTCCGTTAATTAAAAAAAACTAAACAGATAGCCATAATGGTTTTGTCTTCAGATTTTTGTGATGTATCTTAGAAGTGCCTTCAGGTTTCTGGTGAAATTAATAGATCAGTTTAAGACCATCTTATATGGAAAAGGTTGTGTTTGAACATATTTTTATCCCACCACATCTAAGTGGTCTTTTAAATCAAAAGCAAATGTAAAGTGCAAAATAAAATAGGAAAAAATAATTTGCAATCATTAAAACTAATTCAGAAACTTATTTTAATTAAAACAACTATATTAGTTACTCTAAGACTTTTAAAGACCTCTATTGTGTTTCAGACCCAAAAATTTAGTAGGTATTATAACTGATTAAGTCTTTAACCCTATGAAGACTTACCCCAAAGTAAGTTAATGTAGTGTTTTTGAACATAATCATAGCAGATTTAAACTTTGCAAGCCCAGCTAAAGTAAATATCCATAAGCATTGTAAGCTTCTTTCTCTCTCACTTTGTTGTAGGTATCTGAGCTGTTCAGCAGTCATTTTTCATTTCTCAAGCTACAATTAAGTTAACTGTTAAACTGTTATGTCTTATGAAACAGAATAAACCAGGCCTGTTTTACAACAAAATGGAATGGGATTAAAGGGAAAATATATAATATTGTATCTTGACTTAAATTGTAATTGTAATTGTTTATTTGTATGCCGCCCTTTTCCCTGGGGGGACTCAGGGCGGCTCACAATCCAAGGGGGGGAAAAGACAAACTTTTNGCCAGAGTTTCTGAGCCAACATTTTGGTTGTTAAGCAAGAGCGTTGTTAAGTGAATTTCACCACATTTTAAAAGTAGGCCACGCCCACCCAGTCACATGACTGCCAAGCCACTCACACTCGGTCACATGGCCAGCAAGCCACTCCCACAAAGCAGGCCACACCTACAGAAGAGGTTCTAAATATTTTTGAAACCCACTACTGTTCAGAGCATACAGGGCATAAATATCATGCTTCTTACAGCAGTCACCATTCCTTGTTGCAGGAATGTAAGGCTGCTATTTCCACACACAATTCTGGTTTTTACTGACTTTACCATTCATGGTGACTAAATGGATTAGAAATCAGGATACCATCTCCCAAACCTCCTCACACCCTCTCCATTGGGCTGAGTAGGCTTTTAATTGGAGAGGGGAAGATATTTCTTTTATCATACTCTCTTTCTTTAAGACTGCAAATTAAAATTCCCAGTTGTCATATAGAGGGAGTCATTTAGGCCAAGGAGAGAATTAAAGCTGACTTCTGTAATAGTATGTGGGAATGATCTTGGGTGATAGGAAGAAGAGCACTAGGCAGCCATCATGCAAAAGGTAATCAGCCTACAGAAAGAAAAGAAAAGTGGGAAGCATCTCAGATGGGACTCTCCTTTGTTTTCTGGAAAGTGAAAGTAAAGGAGGGGAGAAGTACTTTCAGATTTCCAAGATTCTGTGTTATGACCTTACAGATTTAACAGATTAACAGAGTTGGAAGGGACCATGTACTGTAGGTCATCTAGTCCAACCCCACTGCCCAAGCAGGAGACCCTACACTATTTTTGACAAATGGCTGTCCAATCTCTTCTTAAAAGCTTCCACTGATGAAGTTTCCATAACTTCCGAAGGCAAGCTGTTCCTTTGGTTGATTGCTCTCACTTTCAGAAAATTTCTCCTCCTTTCTAGGTTAAGTCTCTTCTTGATCAGTTTCCATCCATTATTCCTTGTCTGGCTTCAGGTGCTTTGGAAAATAGCTTGATCCCCTCCTCTCTGTGGCAGCCCCTCAAATATTGGAACACTGCTATCATGTCTCCCCTGGTCCTCCTCTTCACTAGACTAGCCATGTCCAGTTCCTGTAACTGTT